ATGTACTGCAGTACAGCCAGTGACTCTCAGACCTCCAAAATGGCTTCCAGCAGCTACTCTATGGGTCCAGTTTCTCTAAATCTGATCACCTGCCGCAATATACACAACATGTACGCAAGAATATGATCGAAGCGTTTCACGCCAGTGCAACTTGTCATGTGATTTGAGTTTCAAATCACATGACAAGTCGCACCTTATGGTTGGCAATGAAAACCGTTCAAAAATCGGTGCGACTCGGACTTTTTGCAATTTCAGGGGCAACTTGCATGGACATCTGTTCATGAAGTCGCACAGATGTCAGCCAAGCGGAGCCGACATGCAGCTTTGAAATCGTGCGACTTCAAGTGAAGTTGGATTAGGTGTGAACCAACAGTTAATCTAAAATTTGTACAATTTTGTTGACGTCCGCATTTTGTCGAGGGGGAAAAAAAAAATAAATAAAATTAAAAAATACATTATATATAAAAGAAACATAAAAATATAAAAAGAGAAAGTATATATAAATTAAATATAAAAAAAGAAAAATTATACACAAATTAAATACAAAGAGAAAACTTATATAAAAAAAGAAAAATATATAAAATGAGAAAAATTATACATAAATTAAACAAAAGAAAAAGTATATATTTATTATAAATAATTTTTTTTTTTTTTAAAAAAAAAACAAGTAGGATTACCCCCCTAGGCTTGGTTTACATCTACGTGGTTTACCTGCGGCTGCGTTTCCTCGGGCACAGCAGCCCATTGCTGCACCCACTGAAGGAAGCAAGGAAAGTCCCTGCACCGTTCCAGTAAACATGGTCGCAGGTAAGCCGCATAGTGCCATGCAGTTCAAGCGCATGCGGGGTGCCATCAGGATTCATGGTACCCCCACACGTAGGAGCAGCGTTGCGATTTTATTGCGGCTGTGGGAAGGCATGCGATTAAACGCTATACCACATCCCGCATTACTGTGAACCTAGATTTACAATGGGCGACGAAGGAACAAAAAAGGTCTAAATTTCATTTTACAACAAAAAGGAAATACAAATACAATTTTGGTTGGACCAACTTTTTAAAAAAGGGGAATAAACTCAAAAGTTATTACATTGCAATTTGCTAATGTGGTGGCTGCATTGGTTTTGTTTTTTTTTTTTAACTAGGCTTTCATTTGTTGAGGGTTTTTTTTTTTTTTTTTTTTTTTTTTCCGTAGGTGATCGGCACAGCAAATCAGCAATGTTTGGACAGAGTGTCAGAGGTCATGTAGCCTCATAGGACAGTGAGAATGAAAAATTCCTCCAATATTAACCAGTGCTGTGCTGGACACTGAGTCACAAGACTGCTATATACTGCTGGTGAGAAAAGGGATTTAGCAGTTTAGATTTACTAAAATATTTGCAATTGCATGTTTCTGTGTAATGTGGGGGGGGGGCCCGGGGACAGCGGAGTGAACCGTGAACGCGGGGGGCCCGGGGACAGCGGGAGACCGTGAACGCGGGGGGCCCGGGGACAGCGGAGACCGTGAACGCGGGGGGCCCGGGGACAGCGGAGACCGTGAACGCGGGGGGCCCGGGGACAGCGGAGACCGTGAACGCGGGGGGCCCGGGGACAGCGGAGACCGTGAACGCGGGGGGCCCGGGGACAGCGGAGACCGTGAACGCGGGGGGCCCGGGGACAGCGGAGACCGTGAACGCGGGGGGCCCGGGGACAGCGGAGACCGTGAACGCGGGGGGCCCGGGGACAGCGGAGACCGTGAACGCGGGGGGCCCCGGGGACAGCGGAGAGACCGTGAACGCGGGGGGGCCCGGGGACAGCGGAGACCGTGAACGCGGGGGGCCCGGGGACAGCGGGAGACCGTGAACGCGGGGGGGGGGCCCGGGGACAGCGGAGACCGTGAACGCGGGGGGTCCGGGGAGAGCGGATACAGTGAACGCGGGGTCCGGGGGAGAGCGGACACAGTGAACGCGGGGTCCGGGGAGAGCGGACACAGTGAACGCGGGGTCCGGGGAGAGCGGATACAGTGAACGCGGGGTCCGGGGAGAGCGGATACAGTGAACGCGGGGTCCGGGGAGAGCGGATACAGTGAACGCGGGGTCTGGGGAGAGCGGACACAGTGAATGCGGGGTCCGGGGAGAGCGGACACAGTGAACGCGGGGTCCGGGGGGAGAGCGGATACAGTGAACGCGGGGTCCGGGGAGAGCGGATACAGTGAATGCGGGGTCCGGGGAGAGCGGATACAGTGAATGCGGGGTCCGGGGAGAGCGGATACAGTGAATGCGGGGTCCGGGGAGAGCGGATACAGTGAATGCGGGGTCCGGGGAGAGCGGATACAGTGAATGCGGGGTCCGGGGAGAGCGGATATAGTGAATGCGGGGTCCGGGGAGAGCGGATATAGTGAATGCGGGGTCCGGGGAGAGCGGATATAGTGAATGCGGGGTCCGGGGAGAGCGGATACAGTGAATGCAGAGCCTACTTTAAAAAAGTAAAGGTATAAGCCAAAAAAAAAAAAAAAAAAAAAAAAAAAAAAAAAAAAAAAAAAAAAAGGAAAATGGAGCCACCACATTAAAAATTGTTTTTTCGGGTTTAAAACCATCCTGAAACATTAATATTGGTTACAGCTATATCTGTGAGGCAAGCTAGAAATTTCGGTGGAAAAAGAATTAAAATTTTTTATAATCACTTGTAACTACCAAATCCAGCCAGCAGGTGGTAATGTAGAGCTATCAGGATCCTTCTTTGTCTGCCTCTTGGTTTTCCCCTTTCTCTCGCCCCGGCGAGGCTGCGCCCTTTTTGTACACAGCGTACATCGCAAAACGTACAATATTATTCATCGCACTATAACCTGGCCTAATATGCTAACAAAGGTAACAGCGGCTGTAACATTCAGACACCTTGTGGTGCCAACATGCCTCTGTGTTGGTCTTCAAAATGAACCCTATGACCCCCTGAACGCAGATCCTAGGCCCCATTTTGTACAGGAAGTCTCAATATCTCGTGAATACAAGATTAAAAAAGGCACATTCCATCTTTTTTTTTTTTTTTTTTTTTTTTTTTTAACAAAAAGGTGGAATTTAAAAATCAAAAGAGGCCTATGAGACGAAGCACCCCCAATTCAGATGTAGGGAGGGAAGGGGAGGACTGGGGATAAGGGGCTGCAGAATGATACCATTTTTTTTCCCCCAACCTATAAAATGGCAGAAATTGTCAGAAAGGTGGAACCGGCCTTTAACCCCTTCAATACCGGGCACTTACACCCCCCTTCCTGCCCAGGCCAATTTTCAGCTTTAACCCCCGGGGGTCACACCTATGTGGCCGTGCGGGCCGCGTTTTGCTCGGGCACGAGAGCCCATTCATTTGAATGGACTCCCGCGCCCCGGGACACTCAGGGAAGAAGTCCCGGCACTTTTGGAAAACGCAGCCGAGGTTCCCGGTACGGTTGCGTTTCCCAGTGCGGGCGGTGAGCCATTAGAACTAATACACCCGCCTGCGGGTCCGCATTTTTGTGCGGGTCCGCAGCGGCACCACCCGCACAGATGTGAACCTAGGGTCAGTGTTGTCACACTGTGAATGACAACTGCGCGGTTATGCAACACTGTACCCAGATAAAATTTTTATATTTTTTTTCACACAAAATAGAGCTTTCTTTTGGTGGTGTATACTTGCCGCTGGGCGTTTTATTTTTTGCTAAATAAAAAAAAAAACACCTGAAACTTTTGAGAAAAAAAAAAAAAAAAAAAACACACACAAACACTGCACTTTGCTTCATTTGTTATAAAATGTTGCAAATAAATAACATTTCTTCATAAATTTAGATCAAAAATGTATTCTTATACATTTCTTTGGTGATAATTTTTTTTTTTTTCAAACGTTTCCATAATTTTTTTATTCATTTTCTCTTTTTTTACCGTTTTGTTTTTCAGCACACTGACTAAAGCAATACAACGTTGCCATAGTAACTTTGAACTACTCTGGGCAAGTGATCAGGATTTTTTTTTTTTTTTTTTTTTTAACACATGACAATTGCCAATACCGATGTATTTCATTGATATTTGCAATCATTGTTACTGAATGAAACGGATTCATTCAATCTTTCGTTGTGATGAGCTGTGATTGGGCGAAGCTGATCACATGATACAGATGGGCTGTGATTGGCCCCGTCTGTATCATGTCACTGCCTTTGACCAGTCACAGCTAACATAATTGTATAGAATGGATGGTGTGACTGTAAGCCATCCATTGTATACAATCGACATCTAATCTGCTGTGATTGGTCACAGCGGTCACATGACACCGGCAATAGGCCGGTGTAGTGATAGGTCATCGGCTGTGTCCCGTGGACTCAGCCAATGACGCTTCGCGGCTCGTTTTGACAGGACGTCATAATGCCCAGTCACAACGGCGAGTGTCCTGCCCGGCCGTCAGTCTGCTATATGCCGGGTGGGAAGGTGGTAACCGCTTCCCCGCCGCCGCCCTATAGCACAAATACTGCTACAGGGCGGCAGGGCTGCGCAAAATCAAATCCCTTTCGGCTCTTGCAAAAGGCCAGACCATAATGACAAACGTGCTTCTTCCATGAGTTAATGATCGCAAAGCCTGCCTATGTTAAACTACATCCACACATTGATGAATAGTCTCACAACCCTCTGATGGAGGGAACTGGAGGGCCATTCACTGGGGGAGAAAATGTTTCACACTATTATTTGCAATAGTCTACAAACACATCCAATAGAGAAAGTTGTATTTTCACCAACACCGGTTGGTTGGTTCCACAAGTCTGTTCCTAATTAGTTCAAAAACTAAGGCTGGCCATACACTAAACAATTTTCTTGAGATTTTTGCTTTCGGATTTACCAAAAATCATATAATAGGAGGTCAAAAGTAAAAAACACTTTCAATTGTATCCAATCAGGCGGGCCCTTGGACTACATAGCTGAAGGTAAATCTAAAAGAAATTGGGCAGAAAATTGTATAGTGTATTGCCAGCCTCAACAATTATTCATAATGAGACAAGTTAGCCTTACTTTGCTTTAAGTTTGGAAAGATCATAGACTTGGGCTCCTTGGGGATCGATTTCCCAGGTATCTGACCCAAGTGCAGGGCGTTGTCTTCTAATGGAGGATCCGGCTCCCTATTGGCACCAGGAGGAAGGTATTTCACTAGAGAAAAGGAGAAAGAACATTGTAAGAGCTCACGAGCCGGGCCCACCTAATCCTCCTGTATGGAATTCTTTGAGAACGGTCTCCTTTTACGTGATAAAGCACTGCGAAACCTGTCGGCACAATACAATATCAAGGAAAAAAAAAAAAAAAAAAAAAAAAAAAAACCAAAAAATTTACTCCAATTTTGCCACAAAAAAATGTATTCTGCTCCGTGTCTTTGCTAAAAAAAAAAAAGAAAAAAAAAATCCCAGTATCTATATGCCTTTTGTAAACGCTATAAATTTCATGTAAGCCAATTAATTTACACATGAAATTTATAGCGTTTACAAAAGGCATATAGATACTGGGATATTTTATTTTTACTAGTAAAAGGCGGCACCAATACAGTGATCAGTGATAATGAAAAGGACTGACACTACTAATGGCACTGGGCAAGAAGGGGTTAACATGAGGGGCGATCAAAGGGTTAACTGTGCGGTTTTACTATGGAGCGGTGTCTGTGCTTCACTAAGCACACTGCTTTGCATGGCTGTGCTATGCTCAGCCATGCAAAGCAGTGTGCCAGAGCTGACAGGGAGGAGAACTGTATTGTTTACCAACAGTTCTCCCCCCCCCCCCGGCAGAGATCCTCGGCAATCACCGGGCGCCGGCGAGGTTTTCTTTTTTTTATTCAGATAGAGCAGGGAAGAATAAGAATCGGTCAGGTTTTAAATTTCTGCCTTTGAACCCCCCCCCCCCCCCCCATTATGGATATTTTCCCTCACTTCCTGTCCCTGTGACACCCATATAAGAAAATCACAGGGACAGGTTATAGCATTTACAAATGGCAGTACATAGAGTATATACACTGGGTTTTTTTTTTTTTTTTTTTTTTTAGATTTTTACTAGTAATAGCAGTGATCTGCGACTTATAGCGGGACTGCAGCAGGTATTGTGACACTGGGGGGGGGGGGGGGGGGGGGGGGGGGGGGGGGGGGGGGGGGGAACTGACATCCCCAGTGACACCAATACACTGATCAGTACAAAAAAAAAAAAAAAAGAGCCCCGACAACCCCTTCCTGCCCAGTGCCATTAGTATTTACATAAGGGGCGATCAAAGGGTTAACTGTGTGCTGGGAGTGTATTACTAGGGGGCGGGGTCTGTGTGCTTCACTGTAATCACACTGTTCTGGATGGCTGTGCTGTTCAGTGTGCCTGAGCTGACAGGGAGGAGGACTGTTAGTAAACAAAACAGTCGTCCTCCTCCCCGTCTGTGATCCTTGGAAATCACTTGGCGCCGAAAAAACTAATTACCATCCGGGGCCCGGTGATTGACAGCCACGGCTGGTGGCGCGGGTTAGGGCGTGTGCGCCCCCCCCCCCACAGAAATGCACAATCACGTATATATATACACACCCACACAAGATTTTGCGCATATTACAGTTATAGATATTTTATACATAAAGTTTTGAATTCTAAATGCAAACAAAGCATTCTCTGACTGGACCAGGTGGAGAGCGTGACATCACTGCCCCACATTTCCAACTCCTCCAATCAGACAATGCTTTGCATTCACTGAAACATAGCTAAACAGTCTCTGGATGGTGCCCATGCCAAGCAGCTGACCACCTATGTTCACAATGCAACAGGGAAGCTGCTTGACAACGGGACCCAGAAGCAAGTGGAGTAGCTGTGTAGTGGGGTCTTCCTTTTCCATCAGCCAGGTATGGGATGTGTATGGTTACGATGGTCCAAAACGTGACCGATATACCTATGCATACAATATTCATACCTAGAATTCATCATTAAATGTGTAAATGGAAGCTCAGATTGGGGGAGGAAGGGCAGGACTTGGGGCCAATCAGGTATCCTGCATTCACATGTGGTGAGAAGGAACATATGGACAGGAAGGGAGAGCAAAGGGATGGCCTTATGAGTATGTTGCTGCTCCTTCATGGTTCAGCCACAGGCTGGGATAGGGAGGTGCAATCTGTATGGCTGAAAGAGGAGCTGCAGTCACACCCCCCCCCCCCCCCCCAAAAAAAATAAATAAATAAAAAATAACACACACACACACACACACACTGGGGCTGCTGACTTTTAATAAAAAGGATCCGGCAGTGTCCTCACCTGAGCCGATTCTCCTGACACTGGGTAGTAAAATGGTTACATTTCAGGAAAGTAAACTGTATACCTATAATTCCTAGGACACCATCAATAAACTGAGGAGTGGGAGGGTTTTATATCAGGCTGGTCACTGTCTGCCAGTGTCCAAATCTTCCTGTAGGAGGCAGTATAAACCAAACTGCCTAAATCTTCAATGAACAAGAAAACCCATCCGTGACAACCGTACATCCCCATTTCTTATATGGGTGTCAAAGGGACAGGAAGTGAGGGAAAATATCCATAATGGGGCGGGGGGGTTCAAAGGCAGAAAGAAATGAAAACCTGATTCTTTTTCTTCCCTGCTCTATCCAAACAAAAAAAAAAAAAAAAAAAAACCCTCCCGGCGCCCAGTGATTGCTGAGTATCTCCAATGGGGGGAGGGTTGGGGAGCACAGATACTAACAAAAAAACCAGTTCCTCAATGTCGGCTCCTGCGCTCTGCTTTGCATGGCTCTACACAGCACAGCCATGCAAAGCAGTGTGCTTGCAGTAAAAAACACAGATCATGTAAAACAGCACAGTTAACCCTTTGATTGCCCCAGATGTTAACCCTTTCCTGCCCAGTGCCATTAGTACAGTGCCAGTGCTTTTTATTAGCACTGATCACTGTATCGGTGTCACTGGGAATGTCAGTGACACCAAGTCAGTTCCCCCCCAGTGTCAGAATGCCCGCTGCAGTCCTGCTATAAGTCGCTAATCGCCACCATTACTAGTAAAAATAAAAAAAAATCTCAGCACACACACACACCTGAGCAGATGTCTTGAAAGACGCACCTCAAGCCGGAATCAGACTTTAAAATCGTGCGACTTCACTGGCAGTCGCATGATTTCAAAGTAAAAAAAAAAAAAAAAAAAAAAAAAACGTACAATTTGTGTGCAAATTCTGAAGACTTTATTGCACCTTGTAAAGATTTTCAACTGTTCTTAGCGATTTCCATTATATTCTATGTATTTGAAAATCGCAATTAAAAAAACAGCAGAAAGAGTAATGCAAGAACTCTTAGAAACCGCGCTGCGGCAAATCGCAAATGTTAAGAGACCGACATTTACAAGATGCGATTTCAATTTGCAAATCACACCGATATGACCGGTCATCTCCAGAGCAGAGCTAAAAAATTTTCATGTCCTCTGATATGATGGTAGATTGGTGTCACTACAGTTCTCAAATTAACCATTTTATTTTGAATAAAAAAAAAAAAAAAAAAAAAAAAAAGGGGAGGATACTATACAGCAGACATGTACAGAATGAAAAAAATGTGTTTCATTTCAATTCATAATTTTGTTTAAAATTTGTTTTTGGAATTAAATTTTGTTTATTAGTTTCTTAATTCTATTCAATTTTCCACATTTGGTTGAATTAAAATAAATTCGAGCAAATCGAAAAGTATCTTATTCGAATTTGTTCCAATCAAAAATGTGAATTTCAGAAGACAGTTATGTTCCATTTTATTTTCTATTCGAATATATTTGATTCGAAATTCAGATTTTAGAAGATCTATATTCCATTTTATTCTATTGTTTTTTTTCAATTCTAAAGTCAAAATTCAGAAGACAAGTCTAGTCTATTTTTTTTCTATTCTAACCTATCTTAAATTTTTTTTCTAATCTATTCTATGTCTCTATTTTTCCCTTTTCTATTCTTATTCTAGTGACTTTTCTTTTCGAAATTAAAATTTTGGAAGACCTAATATTCCATTTTATTCTATTCTAATCTTTTCTATGCCATTCTGTTCCATTTTAGTTGAAGTTCAAATTTCGGAAGACTATTATATTCTATTCTTTTTCTATGGCTTTCTATTCTGTTACTCCATTTTTTTCTATTCTAGTATTCTTCGGAAGGCAACTATATTTTTTTTTTTTTTTTTTGTTCTACAAAGTTTATTGAGAAAAATTCAAAACATATAAATTGTACAAAGTAATACAATGTGCCAAAGAGAAACGCGGTGAAACACCAATCGCATATGCCAAACAATAAGAAATACTCAGGTGAACAAAATGATAAAGCCATCTTGTGTCACCTGTAACAATGAAGTTGAACTAGGAAAAAAAACACGAGAACACAGCAAAAAAAAAAAAAAAAAAAAAGAAAAGGCAAAACACTAATAACCACCACACAGCGTACAAAATATCACCAAATGGGCAGGATCATTTGTTTGCTCCCCCATATATCTTTTATCGTAGAGTAGCAGAGTAGGGGGGAAGGGGATAGAGCTAAAGGTGCTGGGCTTCTGGTGCAAGGAAGAAGTTGCAAAAATATAGAAAGCTCGGTGCTATCCATGAGGTGCAACAAAGGTACCACTCAAAGGTAGCCAACGCATAGGAAAATAACTACCGTATTTTTCGCTCCATAAGACGCACCTGACCATAAGACGCACCCTAGGTTTTAGAGGCAGAAAACAGGAAAAAAAAAATTCTGAAACTAATGGACTGCAGACACAGTACAGGAGCATGACCAGAGACTGCAGTACATAGTAGAGGAGATGACAGTACAGGGGATTGAGACTGCGGACACAGTACAGGGATGACCAGAGACTGCGGACACAGTACAGGAGATGACCAGAGACTGCGGACACAGTACAGGGGATGTACCAGAGACTGCGGACACAGTACAGGGGAATGACCAGAGACTGCGGACACAGTACAGGAGATGACCAGAGACTGCGGACACAGTACAGGGTGATGACCAGAGACTGCGGACACAGTACAGGGGATGACCAGAGACTTGCGGACACAGTACAGGGGATGACCAGAGACTGCGGACACACAGTACAGGACCAGAGACTGCGACACAGAGGGGACTGCGGCGACACAGTACAGGGGATGACCAGAGACTGCGGACACAGTACAGGGATGACCAGAGACTGCGGACACAGGGGATGACCAGGACTGCGGACACTGTACAGGGGATGACCAGAGACTGCGGACACAGTACAGGGGATGACCAGAGACTGCGGACACAGTACAGGGGATGATGACTGCGACACAGTTACAGATGACCAGAGACTGCGGACACAGTACAGGGGATGACCAGAGACTGCGGACACAGTACAGGGATGACCAGAGACTGCGGACACAGTACAGGGGATGACCAGAGACTGCGGACACAGTACAGGGGATGACCAGAGACTGCGGACACAGTACAGGGGATGACCAGAGACTGCGACAACAGTACAGGGGATGACCAGAGACTGCGGACACAGTACAGGGATGACCAGAGACTGCGGACACAGTACAGGGGATGACCAGAGACTGCGGACACAGTACAGGGGATGACCAGAGACTGCGGACACAGTACAGGGATGAACAGAGACTGCTGACACAGTACAGGGGATGACCAGAGACTGCGGGACACAGTACAGGGGCTATGACCAGAGACTGCGGACACAGTACAGTGGTTATGACCAGGAGACTGCGACACAGTACAGGGGATGACCAGAGACTGCGGACACAGTACAGGGATGACCAGAGACTGCGGACAGTACAGGGATGACCAGAGACTTGCGGACACAGTACAGGGGATGACCAGAGACTGCGGACACAGTACAGGGGATGACCAGAGACTGCTGGGGATGACCAGAGACTGGCGGACACAGTACAAGGGGATGACCAGAGACTGCGGACACAGTGACCAGATGACTGCTGGACAGGGAAATGACAGGGGATGACCAGAGACTGCGGACACAGTACAGGGGATGACCAGAGACTGCGGACACAGTACAGGGGATGACAGTGCGGACACAGTTGACCAGAGACTGCGGACACAGTACAGGGGATGACCAGAGACTTACAGGGCGGATGACCAGAGACTGCGGACACATACAGGGGATGACCAGAGACGTGCAGACAGTGCAGGGATGACCAGAGACTGCAGACAGTGCAGGGATGACCAGAGACTGCGGAACAGTACAGGAGATGACCACGAGACTGCGGACAGTACAGGAGATGTCCAGAGACTGTGGATAGTACAGTGTGACTGCTGGACCTTTGGGGAGGGTGGGGAGCGGGTACCTGAATTTGACAGGTAACCACGCTCCCACTCTTCGCAGAGTTTTTCTTTTATCTTACCTGTTTCTCTATCCAGCCACGCGCGTGTCTTTCCGGCTTCTGTATGTGTGGGCACTCGGACAGCCGGGATTTCCCAGTGCGCTGCGCGAGAAGCGCTGCGCTTTGTGATTGGTCCGGCGGCTTCTGGGATCTGTCATGTGTCCCAGTACCGCCTTACCATTCACAAAAGAGCACTGCTTCTTGCGCATGCGCACTTGGGACCGGCTGTCACGCACACTACAGAAGCCGGGAAGACAGCGCGCCGCTGGATAGAGGAACAGGTAAGTCCCACTGCAGAGATGAGCGGCCGGCCCGGTATTCTGACACGGCGGCGGTGGAAATACCGGACCGGCCGCTCTATATTCGCTCCATAAGACGCACTGGACATTTTCCCTCCTTTTTTGGGGACAAGAAGTGCGTCTTATGGAGCGAAAAATACGGTATTATTCTATGCTTTTATTTTTTATTCGAATTGAAATTTTGGAAGACTGTTATATTCTATTGCCTTATTGTATTTTCTATTCAATCTTATTCAATTTTTAAAAAATTTTAATAGAAAAAAACGTTTGATTTTTCTTTCTATGCGCTTCATTTTCAATTCCTTTATTTCTATTCTTGTTTTCGAATTTTGTGTTATTTCGGATTTAAAATTCATTACCACTGTAATAATTCGGAAACATCCGAGTCTCCGAACAAAAAAAAAAAAAATTTGAATTTTTGATTCAGAATGAAACTAACTGCACAAATCTACTATACAGCCCCCCTTTACTTCCTTTTAGCTGTGTCCTATATTTGGGCGGTATCATTACAGCTCACCCACATGAATTGAGCTCAGGCGCCTGAGATGTCATTGCAGACAGTCAATCATAAGCGGTGAGGCATTCCCTGCCTTACAGACGCACATATACACACCCCATGTAGCTGCAGGACTGGTAATGCCGCCGCCGCGTATGATTGGCTGCCCGCAGTGACAGCTTCCCGACCACAGATAGGGCCAGGCGGTTTTGAATTCGTGTCCCCAACATACCTGAGCACATTCCTGCTCCCTCGCTGAACATGGAACGGGCGCAGCGTACCTTGTGCATTCGTGATGGAATCCGGCTGCGAGGAAGGCTGCTTCTCAGACTCCCCGGCGTCATGTGGAAGAACGCCAATGTCCATCTTCTTCACAGCTATACAAGGAGAGATATGAGGCGTTAATGACAGCGAGAGCTCAGAGGTGGCAGATATTTCCCGTACACTCACCGGTTGGGACAAGGTTTGGTTTGGCCGGCTCACTGTCCTCTATTTCTGGCATTCCTGCATCACCGCCGCCTCCAACACCACCAACCTTTGCAGCCTCTACAGAAGAAGTTCGGAAATGTTAGTGGATTTAATTTATGCAAATTACTGTCTGTGCACCAAGTGTTACAGATATTACATCTATGCAGGACAACAAAACAAAAACACTGCCTCCTTTTTTACCCGCTCCTAGATTCAAAGCATACAGTGAAGGAAATGCGTATTTGCGTTTGAGTTAGGGACCTTAGATTGTACCCTCCTCAGGGGCGGGGGACTGATGGGGCCCCTCAAACAGAATGTACAATACAGTGAAGGAAATGCGTATTTGCTCCCCTGCTGATGGTGAATGTTCGCCCCTCACACAGAAACGATCGGGGGGATCGGCGCCCCCTCATCTAACAATGGAATGTTCGCCCCTCACACAGAAACGGTCTAACAATGGAATGTTCGCCCCTCACACAGAAACGGTCTAACAATGGAATGTTCGCCCCTCACACAGAAACGGTCTAACAATGGAATGTTCGCCCCTCACACAGAAACGATCGTCCAACAATGGAATGTTCGGTTTGTAACACTGAGAGACAGAATACAACAACAAATTCAGCAGAAATGCGTCTAACAAATGATGACGGATCTGCATGTTCATGAGGGAAAGAAGGATTTGATCCCCTATCATTCAGCAGGATTTCTGGCTACCAGGTGTCTTTCATACAGGTAACAAGCTGAGATTAGAAGCAGTCTCTTAAAGGGAGTGCTGCTAATCTCATTGTGTTACCTGTATAAAAGACACCTGTCCACAGGAGCCATCAAACCATCAGATTCCAAACTCTCCACCATGGCAAAGACCAAAGAGCTGTCCAAGGATGTCAGGGACAAGATGGTAGACCTACACAAGGCTGGACTGGGGCTACCAAACTATGGCCAAGCAGCTTGGTGAGAAGGGTGACAACAGTTGGTGCAATCATTCACAAATGGAAGAAACACAAAACAAGTGTCAGTCTCCCTAGGTCTGGTGCACCATGCAAGATCTCACCTCGTGGGTGTCAATGATCATGAGAACAGTGAGGAATCATCCCAGAACTACACGTGAGGATCTTGTCAATGATCTCCAGGCAGCTGGGACCACAGTCACCAAGAAAACAATTGGTAACACACTACGCCGACAAGGACTGAAATCCTGCAGTGCCCGCAAGGTCCCTCTGCTCAAGAAAGCACATGTCCAGGCCCGTCTGAAGTCTGCCACTGAACATCTGAATGATGCAGAGGAGGACTGGTGGGAAGTGTTGTGGTCAGATGAGACCAAAATCCAGCTCTTTGGCATCAACTCAACTCGCCGTGTTTGGAGGAGGAGGAATGCTGCCTATGACCCCAAGAACACCATCCCAACTGTGAAACATGGTGGTGGAAACATTCTGCTTTGAGGGTGTTTTTCTGCTAAGGGGACAGGACAACTGCACCGCATCAAAAGGACGATGGACGGGGCAATGTACCATCAAATCTTGGGTGAGAACCTTCTTCCCTCAGCCAGGGCATTGAAAATGGGTGGTGGATGGGTGTTCCAGCATGACAATGACCCAAAACACACGGCCAAGGCAACAAAGGAGCGGCTCAAGAAGAAGCACATTAAGGTCCTGGAGTGGCCTAGCCAGTCTCCAGACCTTAAATCAGATTGAAAATCTGTGGAAGGAGCTGAAAGTTCGAGTTGCCAAACGTCAGCCACCAAACCTTAATGACTTGGAGAGGATCTGCCAAGAGGAGTGGGCCAAAATCCCCCCTGAGATGTGTGCGAACCTGGGGGCCAACTCCAGGAAACGTCTGACCTCTGTGATTGCCAACAAGGGATTTGCCACCAAGTACCAAGTCATGTTTTTGTGAAGGGGATCAAATCCTTCTTTCCCTCATGAACATGCAGATCAGTCATCATTTGTTAGACGCATTTCTGCTGAATTTGTTGTTGTATTCTGTCTCTCAGTGTTACACTGAACATTCCATTGTTAGACCGATCATTTCTGTGTGAGGGTGACCATTCCATTGTTAGACCGATCATTTCTGTGTGAGGGGCGACCATTCCATTGTGTAGGGGCGACCATTCCGTTAGACCGATCATTTCTGTGTGAGGGGCGAACATTCAGCATCAGCAGGGGAGCAAATACGCATTTCCTTCACTGTATTTGTCACGCCCCGTGTCTGCACTTAACAGGAACAAGCAATTCCAGTAGAATAAACCTCATTATCGGTCATACAATATACTAGAACTGTAAATTAGTAATTCATATTTCCCAAACACATGCTTGCTGTAAGAAGCGCTCAGGAGAACGGCGACCAGCCATCACCCAGCGACCAAGAAGCTTACCTTTATCATAATGCACACGGTTACTGGGGTCTTCTACACGTATGTCTTTCACTTCCGTGTCTGCGGGGTTCACCTTATCAGACCCACCTTCCGCTTCCCCAAGTTCAGTTTTGGGTGGCACCTCCTATACAAACAAGTAAAGCATTAATAAAAGCAGGAATAACGTCCCCCACTGTAGAATATGTGGTTTAGTGGTCAGCACTCCTGCCTTGCAGCACTGGGGTCCCCAATTCAAATCAGACCAAGCTGTCCAGAAAAAAGCGTCATTAAACAAATATGGAAATTTTTGTGGTTTTTTTGCGTATTATTAGTTTCTCTATCACTGTTCTACGTGTGCCGATGCTTAACCAGGATGACTGCATGTAGGAGGGGTCATTACTTCATTTATATGTGGGCCTGGTTTCTTTGGATAATTTTTCATAGTTGTTATATTTATGTTCACTTTGTGAATTTAATAACTGGTCCCGTCTCACACACTGAGGGGGTCCCACCACTATTGCCAACAGTGCTTAGCATAGGCAGTGCTGCATATGGTTTAGTCACATGCTTGATTTTTTTTTTTTTTTTAAATCTAAATCTAATGCTTTACATTGTAGTGGAGAGATGTGGGATCTTATTGATCCAAAGATCTCTCCATAAAGAGGACCTGTCACTGCTTATTTCTATGACAAGGGATGTTTACATTCCTTGAGATGGGAATAAAAGGTGATCTATAAAAAAAAAAAAAAAAAATTAGTGCCCCAAAAAGGCATACGTAGGTCCCACCTACATATGTACAATTCAAAAACGGGAGCGCGGGGTGCGGGGGAGAGCGGACACAGCGAACGCGGGGTGCGGGGAGAGCGGACACAGCGAACGCACAGCGAACGCGGGGTGCGGGGAGAGCGGACACAGCGAACGCGGGGTGCGGGGAGAGCGGACACAGCGAACGCGGGGTGCGGGGAGAGCGGACACAGCGAACGCGGGGTGCGGGGAGAGCGGACACAGCGAACGCGGGGTGCGGGGAGAGCGGACACAGCGAACGCGGGGTGCGGGGAGAGCGGACACAGCGAACGCGGGGTGCGGGGAGAGCGGACACAGCGAACGCGGGGTGCGGGGAGAGCGGACACAGCAGCGAGACGCGGGGTGCGGGGAGACGCGGGGTGCGGGGAGAGCGGGACACAGCGAACGCGGGGTGCGGGGAGAGCGGACACAGCGAACGCGGGGTGCGGGAGAGCGGATATAGTGAATGCGGGGTCCGGGGAGAGCGGACACAGCGAACGCGGGGTCCGGGGAGAGCAGATATAGAGAATGCGGGGTCCGGGGAGAGCAGATATAGAGAATGCGGGGTCCGGGAGAGCAGATATAGAGAATGCGGGGTCCCGGGTTTCGTAACCCTTTTAGCTTTAGAACCACTTTACTTTTCCTGGCTTGATGTACACAATAAGAGGGAATCCCTCATTACTGGCGGGGGAAGCCCAGCACTGCAATACATGAACACATCCGGACATTTCAGGCTCACCTTATCTGTGCTCGGCGGCTGCAGCTTCTTCATGCTCTCTTCATATTCACGCTTCTGATCGGCCAGCTGTCTGGTACACTGTTGACTAAAGTGAACATCAGATTAGTGGATGCCGTGCAGCACATAGTGACCGCGCCGCATGCAAACAGCTCAAAGATTCAGTGCCCACCTCTCTTCCTTCTGCGATTTCTGGAGCAAGGTGTAATTGTTCTTGTACTCGTGCAGCTGATCCTCCTGTCGCAGGAATTCCTGACGTAGTTCGTTTAATTGCTCTGCAAAGAACAAATACAGACGACTTCAATGGTGGAGGCGAACACAGCTGAAAGTCGCAGTGGACGGTCACTCCGTGGTGCGCTTTAGGGATTCACCGACACCGAGGATATTTGTAGGCTCACTATAACTTGTGAAAAATGTGAAAACGATACTTTGCGGTGTGATTTGTGTCAATCCAAAATGCAAGGAATAGCATGCGATTTGAATGGGAATGCTACTCCTGCCCAAATCGCATGCAGATTCCCCACTGCTGTGCACACCCAGGCTTCTCAGAGTTCACACCAGAAACCTCCCTGCACCCATCACATGCTGAGCAGACACAAGGGCGTATGGGGATGTATACAGTGCCTTGAAAAAAAGTATTCATACCCCTTAAAACTTCTCAGAACCGTCAATGTATCTATTGGGATTGGATGTGATGGACCGACACAAAGTGGATCATAATTGTGAAGTGGAAGGAAAATGAGAAATGGTTTCCAACATTTGTGACCAATAAATCTGTGAAAAGTGTGGCGGCATTTGTATTCGGCCCCCCGAGGTCCATACTTTGTAGGACCCCCTTTGGCTGCAATTCCAGCTGCAAGTCTTTTTGGGGATGTCTCTTTGCACATCTAGAGAGGGACATTTCTGCCCGTTCTTTGCAGAATCCCTCAAGCTCTGTCTAATTGGATGGAGAGCGTCTGGGAACAGCAATTTTCAGGTCTGCCCACAGATTCTCCATTGGATTTGGGTCTGGACTGTGACTGGGCCATTCTAACACATGAAGATGCTTTGATTGGAACCATTCCATTGTAGGTCTGGCTGGATGTTTCGGGTCGTTGTCCTGCTGGAAGGGGGAACCTCCGCCCCGGTCTCAAGTCTTTTGCAGACTAACAGGTTTTCTTCTAAGATTGCCCTGTATTTGGCTCCATCCATCTTCCCATCAACTCTGACCGGCTTCCCTGTCCCTGCTGAAGAAAAGCATCCCCACAGCATGATGCTGCCACCACCATGTTTCACGTTGGGCATGGTGTGTTCAGGGTGATGTCTGTTAGTTTTCCCCCCCACACATAGCATTTTGATTTTAGGCCAAAAAGTCCCATTTTGGTCTCCTCTGACCAGAACCCCTTCTTCCACATGTTTGCTGTGTCCCCCACATGGCTTCTCACAAACGGCACTTCTTATGGCTTTCCTCCAACAATGGCTTCCTTCTTGTCACTCTTCCATAAAGGACAGATTTGTGGAGTGCACGACTAATAGTTGTCCTGAGGACAGATTCCCCCCCTGAGCTGTGATCTCTGCAGCTCCTCCAGAGTTCCCATGATGGGCCTCTTGGCTGCTTCTCTGATGAATGCTCTCCTTGCCGGCCTGGCATGTCAGTTTAGGTGGACGGCCATTTCTTGGTAGGTTGGCAGTTGTGTCGTACTTTTTCCATTTTCGGATGATGGATTGAACAGTGAGACGTGAGATGGTCAAAGCTTGGGATTTTTTTTTTTTTTTTTATAACCTAACCCTGCATTAAACTTCTCCACAACTTTATCCTTGACCTGCCTGGTGTGTTCCTTGGCCTTCATGATGCGGTTGTTCTCTCTAACAAACCTCTGAAGGCTTCACAGAACAGCTGGATTTATACGGAGATTACATGACACACAGGGGGACTAATTAGGGGACTTCTAAAGGCAACTGGTTCCACTAGATCAGTGGTTGGCAAGCCGCGGCTCACGAGCCACATGCGGCTCTTTACAAACTTAAATGCGGCTCTTCTGTGTGCCGGGCGCCCGCTCCCCTCCCTCCTCTCGGGCGGCCGCCCCAAAAGTCAGGACTCTGCAGCTGTCAGGATGTAGGCGGGGCAGCGTGACAAATCCTCTCCTCTCACAGTCCGCCCTGAAAACCAGAACGGCGCGGGAACACGGCAAGAAGAACGCGCGCGAGCAAAGGTAAGTGAATTGACACTATATGGGGGATGAATTACTATATGGGGGATGTATTTTCAGTTTTAAAAATGTGGCTCTCAAAATAAATTTCAATCGTGGTTTTGGCGAGATTTGGCTCAGTTGAAAAAAAAAGGTTGCCCACCACTGTCTAGATCTTAGGAGTAAAGGGGCTGAGCACAAATGCACGTCACACTTTTCAGATATTTGTTAAAAAAAAAAAAAAAAATATTGTGAAAACCATTTATGATTTTCCTTCCACTCCACAATTATGTACCACTATGTATTGGTCTAGCACATCAAATCCCAATAAAATACATTTACGTTTTGGGTTGTAAGTAAATGCTATATGAATCATCTGCCCTTACTCAAGATGGCCGCAGTTAGACATGCTAAGGGGGGGTTTGAATAGAACATTAAAAATGTATTTAATGTACTTTTCAGGTTGTTTTGCTCAGATAAGAGTTTAGTTCCACTTCAGCTGATCTTCCCATGATGATCACGTGACCAAACACTAAAGGCAAGCAACATTTATTTTTTTGAGGGGGGAAAAGGTGAACATTTCAGCCTATTACTGTCTATTGATGCATACCAGCGAGACGGCTAACACAGCTTTTACCGAATAACCAGGTGACAGATTCTGCCTAAAGCTGCATTCATTGGAAGATTAATGAGTGTATTATAACCGGAAATTACAGACTAGAAGACCTTTCTTAAACAAAAAAAAAAAAAAAAAAAAAAAAAATTATGTATCAAAAGCAGATCGGTTCCTGTTGCCATAAAAATCAGACTGTCCGACTACACCTCCCATCATAGCAACAATTGACTAAAAGAAGAATGCAACTGGTTGCTAACGGAAACAAGAGCATTTGGTTTCTATTTATCAACACAAAAAAGGATGCCGCAATACCCTGTGGATTCCATCACTGGGAGGCTGACAATGACTGATCTGTCTGTTCCCATTCATATCACCAGGGCCTCGGATTTATCTCAGACTTTGCGATCATCAATTGTGGTATCTTATCAGACTCATCCACCTTACCAACATTTCAGTGTCCTCCACCCCTCTCTGCCAATCCCTCCACTGGCCTCCATTCAGTGTCCTCCACCCCCCCTGCCAATCCCTCCACTGGCCTCCGCTCAGTGTCCTCCACCCCCCCCCCCCTGCCAATCCCTCCACTGGCCTCCGCTCAGTGTCCTCCACCCCTCCCTGCCAATCCCTCCACTGGCCTCCACTCAGTGTCCTCCACCCCTCCCCTGCCAATCCCTCCACTGGCCTCCACTCAGTGTCCTCCACCCCCCTCTGCCAAACCCTCCACTGGTCTCTGTTCAGTGTCCTCCACTTCTCTCTGCCAATCCCTCCATTCAGTGTCCTCCACTTCTCTCTGCCAATCCCTCCATTCAGTGTCCTCCACCCCTCTGCCAATCCCTCCATTCAGTGTCCTCCACCCCTCTGCCAATCCCTCCATTCAGTGTCCTCCACCCCTCTGCCAATCCCTCCATTCAGTGTCCTCCACCCCTCTGCCAATCCCTCCATTCAGTGTCCTCCACCCCTCTGCCAATCCCTCCATTCAGTGTCCTCCACCCCTCTGCCAATCCCTCCATTCAGTGTCCTCCACCCCTCTGCCAATCCCTCCATTCAGTGTCCTCCACCCCTCTGCCAATCCCTCCATTCAGTGTCCTCCACCCCTCTGCCAATCCCTCCATTCAGTGTCCTCCACCCCTCTGCCAATCCCTCCATTCAGTGTCCTCCACCCCTCTGCCAATCCCTCCATTCAGTGTCCTCCACCCCTCTGCCAATCCCTCCATTCAGTGTCCTCCACCCCTCTGCCAATCCCTCCATTCAGTGTCCTCCACCCCTCTGCCAATCACTCCATTCAGTGTCCTCCACCCCTCTGCCAATCCCTCCATTCAGTGTCCTCCACCCCCTCTGCCAATCCCTCCATTCAGTGTCCTCCACCCCTCTGCCAATCCCTCCATTCAGTGTCCTCCACCCCTCTGCCAATCCCTCCATTCAGTCCCTCCACCCCTCTGCCAATCCCTCCATTCAGTGTCCTCCACCCCTCTGCCAATCCCTCCATTCAGTGTCCTCCACCCCTCTGCCAATCCCTCCATTCAGTGTCCTCCACCCCTCTGCCAATCCCTCCATTCAGTGTCCTCCACCCTCTCTGCCAATCCCTCCATTCAGTGTCCTCCACCCCTCTCTTCCAATCCCTTCACTGGCCTCCTCTCAGCGTCCTCCAGGCTGGCTGCTGACTCCTGTGCACCCGATCCCGCTCCAGGAACACTCCCAGGCTCTGTGGCTGACGGCTGTGTACCGATTCTATTCCCTGTATGGCCCCTATGGGACAGCAGCGCTCTACAGGTCTCCTCTTCATCATGGTAATCAAGGCTTGATGAAGAGGAAACCCTCGAAACATGTTGCTGCCCCCTAGCAGCCAGACAGAGAACAGACTCCATACACAGCCCTCCTTGCATCGATTTGCACTGTACCTGCACTGTCGCCCTCATTTTGTAAAGCTCTGCGCAAACCACCGGCACTACAGAAATCCCCAACTACTGTGATGCACATGCGGTCAATCGTCACCTCCCTTCTCCATGTAAAAGGTACAACTGCTCAATGAACAGAAATTCCAAACATGTCGGAAAACGTGCCCAGCACAGCGATCTGCACCAACGCCGCCGTATTGGAAGACGGGTGCAGCTGGAAACAAGTGGCGTCTACGCGACGGATCCATCTGTACGCCGGTGCTGGATGGAGCGCGTGTTTGTCTTACCCTTTAAACGACTGATGTCTGCCATCTGTTGGGACACGTTGGCCAGCAGCTTCTCCTGAAAACAAAGCAGAAAAACACGAAGACAATTAGGATCCGGCTGACGCTCTGCGCAGGCGCTGCTGTTATCAATACTCTGTACTCTTCACACTTAATTCACTTAACCCCTTGCCTACCAGGCACTTATACCCCCTTCCTGTCCAGGCCAATTTTCAGCTTTCAGCGCTGCCGCACTTTGATTGACAATTGCGCCGTCATGCAACATTGTACCCATATGAAATTTTGATCATTTTTTTCTCACAAATAGAGCTTTCTTTTGGTGGTATTTAATCGCCACTGGGCGCTTTACTTTTTGCGCTATAAATTAAAAAAAGTGCAAAAAATTTGAAAAAAAAAAAAAAAGTTTGTTTCTTTTATAAAATTTTTCAAACAGGTATTTTTTCTTCTTCACCGATTTGCGTTGATGAGGCGGCACTGATGGGCACTGATAGGCAGCACTAAAGGGCACTGATAGGCAGTACTAATGAGGTGGCACGGATAGGCGGCACTGATAGACAGCACTAATTAGGGGTCACGGATAGGCGGCACTGAAATGCAGCACTGATAGGTGACACTGATTATGGGTACTGATAGACGGCACTGACTGGCATCACTTCTGGGCACTGACTGGCGGCACTGACTGGCACAACCCCTGGGCACTGACTGGTGGCACTGACTGGCAGCACTGCTGGGCTGCACTGGTGGGCGGCACTGGTGGGTGGGCACTGGTGGGTGGCACTGGTGGGGTGGCACTGGTGGGGTGGGTGGCACTGGTGGGTGGCACTGCTGGCACATGTAGGTGGCACTTCTGGGCACAGGTAGGTGGCACTGCAGAGTGGCACAGGTGGGGGCACTGCAGAGTGGCACAGGTGGGGGCACTGCTGGGCATGGGTGGGCGGGGCTAGTGGGCGCACTGCAGGGAGGAACTTGCGGGGGTCACTGCTGGGCACCGATCATCAGGGCACTGATCATCAGTGCCCTGATGATCGGTGCCGATCCCCGCTCTGACAACTGCCGGTTCTCGGCAGTACTTTCCTCACGATCTGACAGCGTGAGGAAAGTGCAGCCGAGAACCGGCACTTGCATTTTCCTGTGATCAGCGTGTCATTGGACACCGCTGATCACGTGGTAAAAGGCCGGTGGGATCGGCCTTTCACCACATCTCGTGATCAGCTGTGTCCGTAGGACACAGCGATCACGGAGATCGCCGGGTGCGCGCCCCCTGGGGCGCGCAGGAGAGCGCGTTCTGGGAGGACGTCATATGACGTCCACCCAGAACTAGCCGGCCGCGGTGCAGCCGTCATTCGGCTATGCGCGCGTCGGCAAGTGGTTAAAGTTGAGCTCCACCCAAAAGAGGAAGTTCCGCTTTAATGCTCCTCATTAAGGATTGGCACCTTTGGGAAGTGGGTACCCAAATTGGACAGGTACCCACTCCGATCGCCTAGGAGGTTGTCATCGCCCCCGTAGTTTTCTGGGACACCTGACAGGTCCCAGAAGATTACGGGGCCATTCACAAAGCGCAGCGCTTCTCGCACATGCTCAGTGGGTACTCGGCTGTGAAGCTGCAACAGCCAGGTGCCCACACTGAAGATGCCGAGGAGAGAAATAACGGCCGGTGAAACCAGCAGCGGTGAGGACAGCGCAGGACCGAGGGACAGGTAAGTGGCTGTATTTTAAGAGTCAGCAGTTACAGTTTTTGTAGCTGCTGACTGACTTTTTTACAGCTGGAACTCCGCTAAAAATAAATAAATAAATAAAAATTAAATAAAATAGGAGCATCAAACAATCGCACTAAAGCTTACTACACCAAACCGTGCGCATCTAGCCGCTTACAGTCTGCAAATCCGTAATGAGAAAAAAAGGTTTTGGGAGGAGCCCTATGAACTGGATCTGAATTAAAAAAAAAAAAACAAAAAAAACAAAAAAAAAAAAACTGAAAAAAAAAATAAAAAACCTAACTAAAAAAAATTATATAAATATATAGACAAAAAAAATATAAAAATAAAATAAACCTAAGAACTCCAGGTAGAAAAAAAAAAAAAAAAAAAAAAAACACACAAATACACAGTTAAAATACAAATAGATAGAATATTTTACCTGCCAAAAGGTTCTGCAACTATAAAACAAAGGAGTACAATGGACTTTTTAAATCAAAATGGTGAGGTCGATGTAACAAACAATACAAGAACCCCAAAATAAATATCAGGCATCACAAGAAAAAGTCCCAAATATCAGACAGCCAACCAGATGCCAGCAAACTGAACCACCTCCAGGGATAAATCGCAAACATACGCAGCAATGTATCTGAACGCAGTCCCTCCAAAAGCAATGGACGTGTGCGTCCTATATCTGCATACACGCTTTTATTATTTTTGGTACATTGATTCAGTGGTCATGTGATCGCAGACGCACGGTATTTGTACCCATTGGCTGGATATGAGTGGCGGCATGTGCCAGCTCCTTAACCACTTCCCGTCCGGCCATTGTATATAAACTGCCAGACGGTGGCAGCGCAGGGGCGGGTTACCCATTTATAAACATCCTCCCCGCCCCCTGGGAGCGTGCAGCACCGCGATCTGCTGCTCGCGGTGTCCTGCGGACACAGTGGAACACTGATCGTAGGACGGGACCTCTATGTGACTGGCCAATCAGTGATCACATGCAGAGTAGTAAGCAAGATGTCACTTCTGACATCATTGCTTACTACGTGTGAAATCTGTGAATGATCACAGAGATCACATGGTACAGGGCTATTCACAACAGCCTTGTACCATGTGACAAGCTGTGACCAATCGCAGCTCACACAGTATTTCTCAATGGCTGCAGGAATACAGCCAGAGAGGAGAAATGATTGCTTTTACAGCCTTTATGGGTGTAAAAGTAATCAGTGTAAACAAAAAAAAAATAAATAAATAAATAAAAATCTTCACCTCCCACAAGTAGTACAGTGTCACCATGGTGACACTGTACTGCCAGGGTGATAGTATGTTAAAAAAAAAAAAAAAAAAAAAAAAAAATATCAAAAAAAAAAAAAAAAAAGGGTAAAAAAAGTTAACAAAATTATACATTTTTGGTTACAAACTAAATTTTGGGGTTTTTTTTTTACTAAAAAGATAATGGAATACATTTTGGCCAAGATTTATGATGAAATATTTGCAAAATTTTATAAGAGAAAATTTTCTAAATTTTTGGACCTTTTCATTTACATAGCAAAAAAAAATAAAAAAAAAAAATCCCAGTGGTGAATAAATACCACCAAAATAAAGCTTTATCGGTCTAAAAAAAAAATGCTCAAAAATATGGGTACAGTGTTGCATGACCGCGCAATTGTCATTCAGTGAGATAGCGCTGAAAGCTGAAAATTGGCCTGGACTGGAAGGGGGTAAAAAGGAAGGTGCATTTTTGGGATGCTTCTGAGTGCACCCAAGATGCAGCACTTTCTAGACTGCAGCGCAGCAATGTGAAGTCACATCAGATTGTGACTTCACACTGGCCTGCAGACAAGAGGCATGCACTGAAAGTGTTCCTGAACCCCCAACAGTACAATCAGTCTGTAGATGCAGGAAATCATGCTGGTTATACTCACTGAGACCTAAGGGGTTAAACCTCTGCATTGTGTAAAAAAAAAAAAAAAAAAAAAAAAAAAAAAAAAGCTGTTTGATACTGTCTTCTCTGATACTGTCTTCTCTGATCCTCCCCTTCTTCCAATGCCCCCCTCAACACCTGGTAAGACATGGTGTGGAGTCACACTGCACATGCTCAGTTTGGTGTTTATTAGGGGTGCACAGAAATTTCGGTGGCAGAAACCTCTCGGCCGAAAACACCCCTCTCCGCCGTTGGCCGATACAGGTGCTGAAAATAACCCCGCCCCTTGCCTGCCGCTGCTCGGTTGTTATCAGATGAACGATCCCAGTGATGGGCATAGAGATGAGTGAAGGAAAGATGGCCCCCACTCATCTCTATGCCCTTGGAGGACTGGAGCGAAGTCACTTCCGATCCCAGCGCCTTGTAAACGAGGATTTTTTTTTTTTTTTTTTTTAATTCAAAACACTAAAACCTTTTTTTTGATCCAATGCGTTACATTGCAGAGGAGAGATGTGGAGTCTTGTTGACCCGACATCTCTCCATAAAGAGGACCTGTCACTAATTATTCCTAACACGGGATGCATGCATTTCTTGTGGTAGGAATAAAAGGGATTGGTGTAAAAAAAAAAAAAAAAAAAAAAAAAAAAAAAAAATCTTTAAATTAACCCCCCCCCCCCCCCCACCTAGATCAATGCTTTTTTTGATCCAATGCTTTACATTGCAGAGGACCTGTCACCAATCTCTCCATAAAGAGGACCTGTCACCAATTATGTCTCATTGACCCCCCCATATCTCTCCATAAAGGGGACCTGTCACTAATTAGGTCTCATTGTCCCCCCATATCTCTCCATAAAGAGGACCTGTCACTAATTATGTCTCATTGTCCCCCCATCTCTCTCCATAAAGGGGACCTGTCACTAATTATGTCTCATTGTCCCCCCCATATCTCTCCATAAAGAGGACCTGTCACTAATTATGTCTCACTGACCCATCTCTCTCATTAAAGAGATAATAAAAGTGATTAAAACTTTTTTTTTTAAAAAAAGGGACCGTGCAAAAAAAAAAAAAAAAAAAAAAAAAAACAAACAAACCAAACATTAAATCATTTTTTTTAAAAAGTTCAAAGTGCCCCGCCCCTCCGAGCTCGCACGTAGTGGTGAATGCATATGTAAGCCATGCCCACATATGCAAACTGTCTTGAAACCACACACGAGGTATCGCCACGAATGTCGAAGCAAGAGCAATATTTCTCCCACTAGATCTCCTCTGTAACTTTACACTGCTAACCTGTAAAAAAAGTGGAGATTTTTTTTTAAGTACTGTAGTTTGACGCCATTCCAATTTTTGGTTTCAGCACCAGAATTTTCATTTCAATGCACCACTAGTTTGTATTGCTAGAGGTTTGTTTTTTCTTGGGAGAGTCCATGTGATCAG